GCCAAGACTCACACCCAGGCCCCTGGACTCCATCTACAGTGCTCACCTGACACAGGGCTTATAAGATGGGATTGGAAAGACACTGTTAAGAAGCCACCCGGCGCCCCTTTGGAAAGAGATGTGTGCGGCTGGAGTCTCCTGCTGGGTTTCCACCAAGAACACAGGCAGGTGCGCCTGGATGGCTCTCGGGGACAAAGGAGGCTCACACATGACAGGCAGAGGGAGGAGGGCCGGCACAAGGCAGCAGGCCTCTCGTCCCTGCCTACAGTTTCTATGCATGGCTCCGTGCACCGGTGACAGACTAACACGGGTCACTGACCCCTTTCACTGCCATCCTACCTGCCCGGATACAAGGTCCCGGAAGGCTGTGTGTGCCAGGGGACACTGCTGCCTCAGTGCTTCGTGGCCTGGGCCACTGAAAGTCCCTTCTACGGTCTGGCCTGAGTGCCTCACACTGGAATCCGAATTTGGTCTGGACTTGGGGGAAACAGCTTCTGATTTCTCGCCCCTGACCCAGCTCTGGTGGGATCCCAAGGGCACTGGGGGGTGGCTTTTGTCCCTCCCTGGGCCTGGGTCTTCTCATTATGCCTTTCTTGGGGGATAAAGCAGGTCTTAGAGGGGCGCCGGGGTGGCTCAGTCAGTTGAGCGTCCGACTTCAGCTCAGGTCATGATCTCACGGTTCGTGGGTTCAAGCCCCACATCAGGCTCTATGCTGACAGCTCAGAGCCTAGAGCCTGCTCCCTGTGTCCCTCTCTCTGCCCCTCTCCCGCTCACAATCTGTCTCTCTGTCTCTCAAAAATAAGTAAACATTAATCTTCCCATGAACCCCAGAAATCTAGCTCCAGGTCTGTGCTAGACATGTCTTCCCCCAGCACACGTGTGTGCACACATCCCCATCCTGCACGGTCGCATGTACGTGTACAGGCTGGGCGGCCACACTGTATGCACACACTAGGCTTGTGCCATGGCACTTGCACACGTACCAGTCAGCACATGTGCTGACACTCAAGTACACACATGGGCACATTTCCGTGAATTCTCGGGCTTACACGCAGACACACACATGCAACAGCAGCCACTCACACCAACCTGTGCCCACAAGACAGGCACGCCATGCACACGCACATGCGTGGTAGACAGGACATATGCCCTCACTCATTAGAACTTGGTCAGACGTGATCTGGGGGCCAGGGACACCCGGCCCAAGAGATAAAATCCAGGTCCCCGTGGGGTTTTGAGTTCACAGATCCACACACACGGACACACGGAAGACCCCAGTAGCACACCTCTTACCGTAGCTCAGTGCAGCCTTGTTGAGCCTGACCACTGTGCCTGGCAGGGAGGCACCGACCGCGAGCAGCAGCAGGGACAGTAACAGGCCCAGCCTGCATGCCGGAGCCATGGCTGTCCTGGCCCTTGCCCCCCCCGAGATCTGTGGGTCAGGGTGGGGACAAGCATCAGAGAACTTGTCCTGAACGTGCCCCCCCCCCCCACTCCAGCTGTTTGATCCCCACCCCAGCCTGGAGGTCGCAAGCCCTGAGTGGTGATCCCAGCCCTGCCCAAGACCCTTGCATGTCAGTTTTGCATCTCTGCATTGGGAGGTATCACCTTCCCAGCCTGCTTCCTCAGGAACCACAGCAAGATCTTGTCTGGAAGTAGCCCCAAGGCCCAGAGAAGACATGGACTTGCCTAAGGCCACACAGCAAACTAAGGCTGGTGTAGGACCCAAGCCATGCCAGAGGAGGCAGAGGAGATTCCTGGTTAGGGAGATCAAGAGCAGCTTCTGACCCCGAGGAGAGAGCCCGAGCCCACCACCCCAAGGCCCAGGGCCGTGCTTCCTGATGCCAGGAGTCCAGCGCCCTGTGACAGCCCATCCTAGGGTCCAGCTGCTTGAACCCAGCCAGGGGAAGACCCGGGGTGGCTCCTGTCCTCATCCTATCCTGGACCAGGTGAGGAGTGTCCTAAACGCAGGCCTCTAGCATGGCCCCCCAGCCCCTCCAGCCCCAGCCCAGCCAAGTGGACGGATCTGTGTCTGACTTAGCAACGAGGGGCCACTGCTGAGATGGGCTCGTGGAGGCCCAGCGAGGTGGCACTTGCCCAAAGTCCCACGACAAGACTGGGGACGGACCCTTCTGTAGAAGGCGCTTGGAAGTAGTATTCCCATTAAACAGATGGGGAAGTCGAGGCTCCACCCTGGAGGGGTGCCAGCCCCATTCCCATTCCTACCTCAGGTGGTTTTCTGGGACTGGTGGATTCTCAGCCCTTAGCAGGCGTGGGAGCTGTTTTATGAGGCTCTCAGGTATGCAGCGCCCACTGCGAAGGGACCCAGGGAGGGGCAGGTTTGCTTGTGGATTGTGCGTGTTTTCCCTGCAAACATGGCCGTTGCCAAAATGTTTCATCCTCTCTGTGGTGGGGCTGCCACGTAACCGGGCTGCTGCCGAGCGCTGCAGGACCCTGGAGGTGGCCGCCCTGGGCCCCCTCAGCCAGGAGATCTCTGGAAAGAGGGCCGCTCTTAGGAGGGCCCCCTCAGCACCCCAGCCGGGCCTGGCCAGGTCCAGGAGGATGTGGGTGCCCCAAGTCAGGGATACCACTCACTGCCCTCTCAGGCCAGGGGCTCTAAGCTCTCTCAGAAACATGGCCCTTTCAGCAAGAACAGGGGGCTACCTGAGCCCTGACCCCAGTCACTGACTGAGCCCTGCTCCTGGCCCCACATTGAACCCTAACTCAAAGGGCAACGGATGAGAGGGTGCGTGGGTGGCCGAGTCCTTACTACCTACCACCTCAGGCTCTCTCCAAATGCGTACTTCCCTCGTCATGGATGTGGCCCACCGCCTCTTCCTGCATTAGAAACTCCAGGCTCCACCTTGGCCATCTGGGGCCCACGGGCTGTGTGTCCACATGAAGAAGCTTGTATATATATGTATATATGTTGTATGTATATGTGTTGTATATATGTATGAGGGTTACGTGTGTGTGTGTAGTCATGCATACACATGTGCGTTACGTAATAATAACATCAGAGGACAGTGTGTGTGTATGTGTGTGTGTGTGAGTGTGTACCTGAAGTGGGCACGTTGGCATCTTGGTTTATGATGTTACCTGCCCGTTTACATGAACCCACGTGAGTGAGGTACGGGGTTTTGTGTACGGTATGTACACGTGAGCTTGGTATACTGAGTGTGTCTGTGAGTGTAGGTATCGGGTGCAGGCGTGAGTACGTGTGTATGATGGGTGAGTAGCTGACTGCTTCCTGGAACTGGGAGGCTGTGATGTGTTTGTGTGTGTGCATACACACGCCCACGGGAAGTGATAGCATAACCGCGGGGAAAGCCCCTCTGTTCCTCTGTGTGGATCAGCTGGGGAGGCTCCAACTCCAGAGCCCTGCACGGCTCCCACCGACTCCACGCAGCCCAACACCAGGCCCAGAGCCACGCCCACCCCGGGCTGGATCCCCACCAGGGCCCACAGGACTGGCAGGGACCACAGACATCAGTGAGCCCTCCCCTGAAAAGACAGAGCCCCCCTGCCCTATGCATATGCCAGCCACAGGCTCCCTAATGCCCTACTCCTGGCCTCAGGGCCTCGCTGTAGCCGGGGCAAACAGCAGACTCAGAGGAGAGGGACACAAATATTGACCAAAGCCACTCTCGGTGTTTGCTCTCAGCACAGACACTTCCTCTTCCTCAACACATCCAGCACGGGGGATAATGACTGACAACCTGTGGATACAGATGAGGGAGAGTCTCACCAGCCCCTCCTCCCTACAGCAATGGCGAGCGTGGGCAGGCACCTGCTATGTGCGTGGGGTTCAGCCAGCCCCTTTACCCTCCTCCCTGGTGATGGGAGCTGGTTCTGCTCACCTCTGTAGCCAGTGCCTGGAACATAGTAGGTGCTCAGTAAACATCTGTGGAATGAATGCATGCACGTACAATTGAAAGACCCTTGGAACAGTTATAGGGGCAGCATTTCAGGGCTTCCCCTTCACCGGGTATTCTTAAGGGCACTGTATTCGTTTCCTATTGCTGCTATAACAAATGACTACAAACGTCGTGACTTAAAACACAGCTTCCTTGTCTCATATCTCGGGAAGTCAGAAGCCCAAAATGGATCTCGCTGGGCTGAAGTCAAGGTATTGGCAGAACTTTGTTACTTTCCTGAAACTCTAGGGGAGGATTCATTTCTCTGCCTTTTCCAGCCTCCAGAGGCTATTTTCACTGCATGACTTATAGTCTCTCACTCCACCTTCAGATCAGCAAGTTGGGCTGAGGGCTCCTCGTGCGGCCACCCTTTCCCATCTGCTTCCCTCCAGCATGTACAGGACCGATTCCACTGCGTCCGCCTGGGTGACCTAGGATATTCTCCTATCTCAAGGGCAGTTAATTAGCAACCTTAACCCCATCTGCTAGTGTCAGATCTTTGTTCTGGAACCTCACACATGAACATGTTCTGGTTTTAGTATGCCGGCCTCCCTGAGGGCCCGTTACTCTGCAGACCGCAGGAACTTAGCCTACAATTTGCACAACGACCAGCAAGGGGCACAAGTGAGTTCCTTTTAGCTCCACAATCCAAATAAGCTCTCCATAGGCAGGGCTGACGGAGACAAACATATAGCCAGACATTTCCACTCTGCTCTGCTTTTATTGTTCTCCAGGAAAAGTAGAACTTGATTAAAACAACCCCATATACACTATTTTGTGTATTTTGCCAAAGCAGGTGGTGAGGCTGGGAAGCGGGAGGCAGGAAGAGGTCTGGGGGCATGGCCTGGGTACGGGAGCCTCAGTTCTCACCCCTGCCCAGGCCCTGAGATCCCGGTGTGGCCTTTTCCATCTGTGGCCTCAATTTCCTCATCTTAAAAGTAGGAAGGAGGTCAGAATGGGCTCATCCGAGGGGAAGCTCTGGAGCCAAGCTGGAGACCGGGCAGAGCCCCCCGCCCCACCCCCTGCTCTGTGAGGTCACAGTGCCCACGGCTCCACTTGACTCGGCTACATGCCGCATGGTACCTTCCAAGGCACGCTAGGAGGTGGCAGCAGTGACTGCCTCTGCCCCCTCGCCGACTAACGGAGAGCCTCAGCACCGCTTCCTCTAGAGTTCCCAGACCAGGAGATTGATGCCGCGGTTCTCCAGGAGCCCCGGGGATCCGTGTAACCCGCCTCAGGATGCCAGACCCAGGAGGTGAGGACGGCAGCCCCCATCTCTGCCCAGTTCTTTGCGGTGTACAAAATGCTGCCCCTTTGCCCTCTCCTTGGAGGTGAGCGGGCATCACCAGCTGCCTGTGACAGAGGCAGCTGCTGAGGTCAGAGAGGTCTGACTGTGGCTTTCCTAAAGTCTCCCAGCCAAGCGAGTGGTGGGGCAGTCACCCTTCAACACATGTTTATTGAGCACCTACTGTGTGTGGGCACTGAGCAGGGGGCTGCGGGCATAGGGCTGCGCCAGGTGGACATGCTTCCTGCCCTCATGGAGGTCACAGTCCAGCAAGGGAGACGGTAAATGGACGCACCTCTGCTGTCCGTCTGCCTACTCTGGGCCCCCAACATGGGGTGTATGTCCCAAGAGAGTATACAAAACAGGGGAGCCAGTCAGTTAAGCCTCTGACTTCGGCTCAGGTCATGATCTTATGGTTTGTGGGTTTGAGCCACGCATCGGGCTCTGTGCTGACAGCCAGCTCAGAGCCTGGAGCCTGTTTCAGATTCTGTGCCTCCCTCTCTCTCTGTCCCTCCCCTGCTCACGCTCTGTCTCTCTTAAAAAATAAAATAAAAACATTAAAACTCTTTTTTAAAAGTGGGTATACAAAACAATCCCTCTAGGGATTTGGGCTGGCATACTAAAAAAAATGAGGGCGCAAAGCATTAGAACCTCAGCGTATATTTTTAGCTCATCCTCTTTTAATTCATAGTTCTTGAGAATGTACAAATACTGGAAAAAGTAAATAACATGTTAGCACAGTTGTACACATACATATGTACATATGATATTACATATATAATGGTCCCATAAATAAACATAAACACAGCGGGGGGGGGTATGATTATCACTGTTGGGGGACCATGGCCTAAAGAAATAAAGACAGTTTGTTATCTCACATACCAAGAAGTCCCAAGATGTGTGTGGCTCCAGAACGCGTTAATTCTGCAGATCTGCAGTGTCTCTTGAGATCCAGGTCCCTGCTGTCATTTGCTCTTCCTGCTGGCCTCCTGGCCGTCACAGGCGGCCACCACGGTTCCGGGGGCACAGGGAAGCATGGCGGCATAGGGTGCGCGGAGGGTGGGCATTGCTTCCTGCGGGTCTCACTTTAGCAATGAGAAAGCCTCTCCCCCAAGTACCAGACCTCCAAACCCAGCGCACCCCCACAGCTCACCCCGCGGAGCTTCCCCTGGCGCCTGCCACAGCAGAGAGACCCGGACAAGGACAGCAGGGCTTAGAGCCATCGGGATTGCCTAAAATCACACGGGGCGGGAGCGGCCACGGGACCTAAGTCAGCCTTCCGCTGGCCGGCGAGGGGAGCAACTGGCTTTGAGGTGATAGCAGCACACTGGGTCCCCTCCTCAAAAGAGACTTGCGTTTGGGGTTGGTCAGACCCGGGTATGTCCCTGATTCGCAGGCTGGTAGTCTTGGGCGAACCTGTCTGCAACTCAGTCTCTCAACGTAGAACGTGAGGACACCATGTTTCTTGCAAAATTATCAGATGCAATTGTGAGTCTTGTTACCCCCAGGGCGGCCCAGCGAGGCCGGAACACCTGCAGGATGGCGGGGGACGCCGTGTCAAACACACGTGAGCAGGGAGGGAAGAGGGGAGCCCTGGGGTCTTCGTGAGCAGTGGGGGGCGGAGGCTCAGAGATGTCAGATGGGCAGCCCAGAGTCTCCTGGCAAAGGGCAGGCTAGGGGGCGGGGATGGCCGCAGCGAGCTCTGGGTGTCTGCAGGCACTGACGTGACAGCCCCGTGCTCTCCGCAGGTGATTCCATTGTGCTGCCCATCCGCATCAGTACCCCGGCCCCGAACCTGGCCCAGTGCGTGCTGGCGTGTATATGTACGTATGTACTGAAGAGGCGCCCTGGCCATCAACGTGGGCCTGGGGAGAGGGCCCAGCCTCAGGCCAGGCAGACCTGGGTGGGTAAGGCCTGCACTGGGCTGCAAGGGAGGGAGGGAACCCTGGAGGTCTTCCCAGCAAAGGTGGTAGGTGTGTCATTCCTTTGGTGGTTGGAGAGAGGGAGCAGGAGGGAGGCGTGCTGCTTGGAGGAGCTAACTGTCAGCCCTCCCTACTCTCCTGCCAGCCTGGCCCCTGGGCCGGGAGGCCACTGGTGAAGCCACGGAATGGTGTGATGTGGTGCACCCTTACTTCGGGCACGTGGTCTGCCCACCCCCTAAAGATCAGCCTTCTATGTTAGTGTTCACCCACTCGCCCCTCCGTTTACTCATCACTCGGTCATTTCTCCAGCCCTCTGTCCTCGTATCCATCTGTTGTAATATCCATGCACCCCATTTGTTCACTAAGGGAGCCATCGGGTCACCCATACCCTTATTTGTTAATACTCACACCCATCCAGTTACCCACCCACCCTTCCGTCTGCCCATCTTCTCATCCGCCTTCCTATTCATCCACCTTCCAAACCATTCTCTCAGCATTCTTCTGTCCGTTCACGTATCTCCCACCTACTCGTCCATCCTGAATCCCCACTTTTTACTTAGCTCCAATGGTGGGCAGCACTGGGCACCGGGGATGAATGGGACACGGACCCTGCCCTTGAGAAGCCCCCAGTGTCTGGGAACGGGCATTGGCACATCCCAGACTTCGTGTGCTCCGGAGTCACTGCTAGGTGGTTGTTAACTGCCGGGCGCAAGCAGTGCCCACCTCTGGGCCCTGCCCTCCCTCTGAGCTGGTGTTTACCCGGGAGCAGAGCAGGGCTACCCTGGGCTCCATTACAAGACTGAGAGGGTGTCCCAGCGTAGGGCACCGCCTCCTGCAAGGCTTGGTAGATGAGAACACGGCTGCAGCGACTCCTGCTCTCCTGCCTCCTCTGCAGCCTGGATCACCTGTCTGGCCTGCTTCCTGAGGACTCAGGCTCACCACATCCTGTTCAACAACTGCAGGTGGGCAGGGGAAGGCGAGGGGAGGGTGGCGGAGGCTGGGAGCATGCAGCCCGCTACCATGGCAGCCTCCTCACTGGTCTGAATGTCCCCGTGATCACCAGACCAGATCAGCCAGCCCAAACCTGGATTTTAGCGTATTCCCTCGCCTCAGAACCCACTATGGCTCCCCAGTGCTCTAGCACCTTGGCCTGCAGCCTTCTGGAATCCTGCCCCGCCTTCCTTTCCATGCTGCCCTCCCTCTGCATCCTGCTGTGGACCCACTGGCCAGCAAGACGAGGCTCTCCCCCCCGGGCCCGCCGTTCCCGCCCCCACCTCAGCACCTTGGCGCATGCTGTTTTTATTTCCTGGAATGCCTGTCCCATCCTTCCCCTTCAGTCGTCTGTCCCACACCAGCCCCTCCCAAGTGCTGCAAAGCTTTCCCCCTCATTCATTCATTTAGAGCGTGCATCCTAAACATCTCACTGCCTACTCTGGGCCCAGCCTTGACCCTCACCACTCCTGGGCTCCCAGAAAGGAAGGCAGGCAGACACCAAACCCAGTGTTAAGGGTGGGGGTGGGCAGCGCTGACTCTGGAGGTCATAGGAGGAGGGGACGTTTGTCCGAGCTGAACTCCGAAGGGTGCGCTCACCAGGACAGACGGGAGGGAACAGCCAGTACGTAGCTGGAGACAGGGTGTGAAGAGGATGGGGTGGACCTCAGTGAGTGGATCTCTGATGGCCCCACATGCTGGGGTAAGAGCTCCCTTTCCTCGGGAAGGCTGTGCGGGCACAGCACGAGGTCAGCATCATGGAGGGGGTATCACTTCCCAGGAGGGTCCTGCCCTTCAGGGATAGAAGAGGGCAAGGGCCAGGCCAGGACTTGTTAGCCTATGCAAAGCCCCACTTCACCTTGACTGCTGCTTCTCTCTCTTCCAGATGCAGGCTGCTCTTCCAGAAGCTCATGGAAAAGACAGGTGTTCTCATCCTCTGTGCTTTTGGTATGTCTCCGGGGCCCTGGCCCATCCCAGGTGGAGGTGTCCCTGTGCTCTCGCCCAACCTGGGGAGGGAAAGAGTGAAGGCTGTGGCACTATGTGACACTGGGCAAGACACGGCCCCTCTATGAGTCTCAGTTTCCCCTCTGTCTAATGAGTGTTGCTGTGAGGATAAAATGAACTGATGACCAAGGACATTTTTTGAAAACTACAAAAAGCATTGAAAATTGTAAAGTTCTCCAACCACGGTATGATCATTATTACACATTTCTGATCTTCCGTGACACCTCCCACGTCACAGCTTTGCTTTCTCAAGCAGAGGAGTCTCCTCCCTCCCCTCAGTCAAATACACTGGCCCAGCAAGCAGGGGAGCGGGGTGGGTGGAGAGAATGTCTTAAGAAATTAGAAATTCCTAGGAAACTTAACCCAACAAATAAGATTTTTTTAAATAACAGCTTTGTTGAGATACAGTTCACCTACCAGAAAGATCACCATTTTAAAGTATACAATTCAGTGGTTTTTGGTATATTCACAAAGTTTTGCAGCCATCACCATTATCAAATTCCATATTTTCACTACTCCCCCCAAAAATCCTCACCCATCCCAGACAGTCGTTCCCCATCCCCCCTCACCGCAGTCTTAGGCGACCAACCACGAATCTATTTTCTCTGTCTCTATGGATTTGCCTGTTCTGGACATTTAATATAAATAGAATCATACAATATGTGGTCTTGTGACTTTTTTCACTTGTCATAATGTTTTCAAAGTTCATCCGTGGTATAGCATACATCTGCATTTCATCCTTTTTTATGGCTGAAAATATTCCATTGTATGGACATGCCACATTTTACCTATGTATCCAACGGTTGATAGACATTAGGATTGTTTCTGCTTTTTGACTACCGTTAATGCTGCTGTGGATGATCCTATAAAACGTTTGTGTGGACATGTGTGTTAAATTCTCTTGGGCATCTATTTAGAAGTGGAATTTCCGGGTCTTGTGGCAATTGTATGCTTAACTATCTAAGGACTTGCCAAACTTTCCCCCAAAGTAGTTGCACCATCTTACATTCCTACCAGGATGTATGAGAGTTCCAGTTTCTCCACCTCCTCATCAATACTGGTTATTATCTGTCTTTTATTTTAGCCATGAAGTGCGGTACCTCATTGTGGTTTTTGTTTCATTTCTCTAATGACTAATGATGTTAAGCATCTTTCCATGTGCTTATGGGTCAACTGTAGATCTTCTTTGGAGAGATGTCTAAATTTCTTGACCCATTTTTAAATTGGGTTGTCTTTTTATTTTTGAGTTATGAGAGTTCTTTGTATGGTCTGGATATAGGTCCCTTATCAGATACACAATTTGCAACTATTTTCTCCCATTCTGTGGCTTGTCTTTTCTCTTTCTATTGATGGTGTCCTTTGAGGCACAACTTTTTAAAATTTTGATTGAAGTCCAATTTATCTGTTTTCTTTTGCCATATGTACTTTGATGTCAGATGCAAGAAACCAGTGCCTAACTCAAAGCTATACAAATTTACTCCCACTTTTTCTTCCAAGATTTGTATAGTTTTAGCCTTTACATTTAGGTCCATGATCCATTTTTTTTTGAGTTAATTTTTGCATCTGGTGTGAGGTAAGAGTCCAATTTCATTATTTTGAATGTAGATATCCAGTTGTTCCATTTATTGAAAAGACTATTCTTTCCCTTATTCAATTGTCTGGCACCCTCACTGAAAATCAATTGGCCATAAATGTGAGAGTTTACTTCTGGACTCTTAATTTTACTCCTTTGATCTATAGGTCTACCACTTTGCCAGTACTGCCCTGGATTAATTGCTGTAACTCTGTAATAAGTTGAAGTCCAGAAGTATGAGCTCTCTAACTTTGTTCTTTTTAATTATAGTCCCTACACTTCCATACGAATTTTAGGATCAATTTTTCCATTTCTTAAAAATAAAGGCCTCAGGTATTTTGAGGGAGCTTGCATTGATTCATAAATGAATTTGGGGAGTCGTCTCACCTAAACAATATTAGGTTTTCCACCATGAACATGGGCTGTCTTTCTATTATTAATAGATATCTCTATGTCATCTTTAATTTCTTCTAATGATGTTTTGTATTTTTCAGAGTGCAAGGTTTACACTTATGTTGAATTTATTTCAAGTATTTTATTCTTTGAGATGCTAATGTAAATGGAATTGTTTTCTTATCATTTTCAGATTATTTATTGCTTGTGTTTAAAAATATAACTGATTTTCATACACTGATCTTGTATCCTGAAACCTTGTCATTTATTACTTTGACACTGGGCAAAACACTCAGTCTTAGATACTCTAAGGTTCTATGTGCAAGATTATGTCATCTGCCTTTTCTTTCTTTTTCTTGGCTAATTGACCTGACTAGAACCTCCAGGACAATGTTAAATAGAAATGGCAAGAGTAGACATAATTGTTCTGTTCCTGATTTTAGGAAGAAAGCATTCAGTCTTTTACCATTAAGTATGTTATTAGCTGGGGGGCGGGGGATGTTCATAAATGAGCTTTATCAGACTGTGGGAGTTCTATTTCTGGTTTGTTGTTTTATCATAAACAATGAATAGGTTTTAAAGAGTTTTAATAATGGCTTGAATGGTAGGATTTCAGGTAACACAGAGATCATAAAATGCAGGGAACACCATCCCATTTTCTTCTCTTCATCGATTATCCCCAGTAGAATTGGAACAGGGGCAAGAGAGGGGACATGGATTATTTGGTTTACATGAGACACTTTACATATATGATATCATTTGATCACGAAGTGGATATTACTGTTATTCCCATTTTAGGAGGAGGAAATTCCCAGAGGAGGAAATTGAGGTCTAGGGAGATTAACTAAATTCTTCCAAAGTTGCACAATGTTAGTAAGTGCCAAAGCTGGGATTTGAATCTAGATGCCTTAACTCCAGAGCCTCAGCTTTTAACCTTCTATCTTAAATGGCCCACTCTCATTCTCTTGGCCCCACAGCATTCTGGATGTTTTCTATGCACGTACCATCTAAAATGGAAGTCTGGCAGGTAAGTGTGTGCTCTCTTCAGGCCTCAGCACTGACTGGCCTCACCCCAACTAGCTGTTGCCTACAACAGCTTCTCACTCTGACCACATCTGGACCTTGATCAGTTCCTGACTCATCCCAGCCCCAAACCTCTGTCTTTGCAATGCCACCCACCTGGAACCTATCTCTCCCACCAAAATGTGACTTTAAAAGACCAGACACAGTAGTCCATCCTACAGAATGGCTCTCCTGTCTCTCCCTCCCAGAGGTGACCTATCTTTCCTTTATCAAGGCTCCTTCCTAAAGCAGAATAGTGAGGATGGAACACAATTCTCTCTGTACTCAAGGAAGTTTGTTCTTCTGCTCAAATGAAATGAGACCATTTGCTTTGTGGATCCTGGGGAGAAAAGAGGAGGAAATCATGGCTAGAGCTCCCTGTCAGAGGACAGCAAAGAGTCTTAGAATGCCTAAAAAGAATGAAGATCTGATGAACTTTTCCCTCCCTCTCCCCTTTTCCCCTTATAAACTCCTTCATATCCTTCAAGATCCAGCTAAAATGTCACTTCCCCCAGAAATATCAGGTGAAGGTGGTGACATTCCCCTTTCCTCCCACAATTTTCTCTAATCGTGAATGCAATCATGACTATTTTCCCAACTATTTTGGGAGCTATTGAAGGTAGAGCCAGGTCTAATTCACTCCAGTGATGTCCACCTTAGGGTCAGGCAGAAAGTTGCCACTATCAGTGTTGGTTAACTGGATGATCAGTGTTGGTTAACTGGAATGGAGGGAGAATGGATGGGAAAATAGAAGTGATGGATGTAGGGATAGATGTATGGATGGATGGAAGACTGAATGGATGAGAAATGGACAGATGGACAGATGGAAGGGCAGAATAGATATATGGATGGGTGGATGGATGGATGGATGAATAGACAGATGGTTAATGGGAGGTTGGATAGATGGGAGGGTGGGTAGATGGGAGGATGAATTGATTCGTGAAAGGGTCAATATATAAGGTAAGTTAGATGAGTAGGAAGGTAGATGGATGAGGAAGGTTGGATAAATGGAGGAATAGATGGGTAGGAAAGGGTGGTTGGATGGGATGTGGATAGTTGGAAGGGTGGATGGATGTGGATTTGGATGGATGGATTTAAAATGGAGGATATACTGGATTTTGGATAGATGGTGGGTGAGTGGATGGATGGAAGAGTAAATGGGAAAGCAGATGAATGGATGGATTTATGGTTGTGGGAGAATGAATGGAGGAGTTTCTATTGGGCCCAGATGAGGCCATCTGAAAAAGATCCCTTGTTTCCTCAACACCCTACCAGGACGACAGCATAAATAGTCCACTGCAGAGCTTGCGGTAAGAAGAATCTACTAAATAGTCTTATTATCACCCAAAAACCAGAACTGCATCAAGGACCTGTAATATATTGGCTAAGAATGTATTGGCTCCACAGTCAGATCAACCTAGGTTTAAATCCCAGCTCCCATACTGCCTACCTGGCTAAACTTTTGCAAGTCACTTCACCTGTCTAGGCCTTTGACTCCTCATTTATGAGATGAAGCATAACATCCATCTTGCTCTGGGTAATTATGAACATTAAATATGTCAGCTGTCCTGAATAATTACTGGTCTATAGTTCACACTCAGCAAGTGGAAGCTGAGAAGAAACTTTAACCAACAAGATACCACCTGGTGGCATCATCCTTAATTGCAAGCAAAATACTCAGGAATATTTCGAAGGAATAAGTTGAATTAAAGATATTCCAAGTAGGAGGAAGACCATGAGTAATGCTTTAGAGATAAGAACCTACTGGGTAGGGCCAGGATGGGCCCAGAAGAGTAAGGAAATGTGTAGCTAGTTCTCTGTAGGCTGATTGGTGAAGGTAGAAGCTGAGGGTGACAATAGCAGCATCACAAATCAGTCAGTCCATGTTCTACTCCCTCCTTGTAAGAATGTACCAGGAGAAGGTGCGGCATCACACTGGGGAAATCCAGGACCTCCGAGGTAACATGACCCAACTCATTGCCAAGCTCCAGTTGATGGAAGCCATGTCAGATGAGGTGAGATACTGGCCATTCCACTCCAAAACACCTGACTTCTTTGATGACCTTTTCCCTATTTCCCAAGTTTTGGTGGAGCACATCCTCCAATAATTTCCTAGGAAAGAGTGAAATAAGAGGCATATTAATTTGTTTAGAACTTGCACATTTGAAAGTATTTTTATTCTACCCTTTCATTTGATTGATAGTTTGGTTGGGTATAGAATTCTAGATAGAAAAGATTCCCCTGAAAATTTTGAGAGAATTCCACTATTGTGTTCTAGTTGTATTGTTGCTGTTAAGAAGTCTAATAGTTCTCTTATTATTGATGCTATGAGTGTGATCTGTTTGTTTGTTTGTTTGTTTTTTAACCTCTGGGTGTTTGTATGATGTTCTTTTTATCCACAATGTCACATATTTAACCTGCTTGGGATGGGGTTGCTGAGCTTATTGGATTTATAGTATTTTTTCAATAGTTGTTAAAAATTCTTAGCTATTATTTCTTAAAATATTGTTTCTTGCCCATTATCTATGTCCCCTCCTGGAACTCCAGTTATATCTATGCTAGATTGTTAGAATGTGTTCCACACAATTCTTATGCTATTACCTGGTGTGCTTGATTTTCATCCTTTTTCTCTATGTGTTCAAGTTTTGATATTTTCTATTCACATTTCTTCAAGTTCACCTATAATCCTGTATTCTGTCCTGTCCAATCTACTGTTAAAATTTTCCATTAAGTTCTTAATTTCACATACGGCATTGTTCTAGAATATATAGTTGATTCTTTTTCATAAATTTTAATTCTATGATGAAATTCTCCAACACCTTACCTATGTCGTCCATTTTTTCTTTTCTGTTATTGAACTTATTGTCCTAGCTATTTTTAAATCCTTATCTGCTAAATCCAATACCTAGATCATCTATGATCTTTTTCTATTGTTGTTTTTCTTTGGAGTATCGATCATATGGTCTTGTCTTTTCATGTCCAGTAATTTTTCAGCGTTTTTCTGGACTTTGTATACAAAAGAGCTCTGTGCTCCAGATAGGTATAACTTCAACTAGAGTTCCCCCTGAGGAAGACGAATACCCTGATCACTTCTATCTAGATGTTCATTGAGCTGTTTCAGACCTGGATTGCAATTTGTGTAAGATTTGGTCAGAAGGTTTCAGCTTAATCCTTTAGTGCCCTTACCATGAAGCTTCAAATTTTTGGTAGATGTCTTGATGGGAAAGACTGACCATATGTCTGAGGCTTCTCAAGTCTCCAATTAATTTTTTTTAAGTTTTTGTTTGTTCTAAGTTTATTTATTTAATTTGAGAGAGAAAGGGAGTGAGCACGAGTGGAGGAGGGGCAGAGAGAGTGGGAGCCAAGCAGGTGCCACACTGTCAGCACAGAGTCTGATGCTGGGCTTGAACTCACACACTGTGAGATCACAACCTGAGCCGAAATCAAGAGTTGGATGCTTAACAGACTGAGCCACTCAGGCGCCCCTCTCAAGTCTCCAATGTCGTCTCCTAGCCCTGCATGAGTGCAAAATCTCCCGCCCTAGTGGTAACCTTCTCTGCCAGGGGCAAGCGTGGATTCTCAGGCTCTGATTGTGTCCATAATTGGTGTAGTGCCCCCAGGTCCAGCTACAGCCTCTCTCTCAATATTCACCACTCCTTCTAGAGCAGCAGTTCTCAAAGTGTGGCTCCCATACCAGCAGCATCAGCATTACCTGGGAAAATGTTAGAAATTCAAATTAATGGGCCCCCTCAGACCTACTGAGGGTGGGAGCCAACCATCTGCATTTCAACAAGCCCTGCACATGATTCTGATATATACCAAGATGTTTGTAAGGTTTTAATCTCTCGCTTATTTTGTTTTGGGGTCTCCTCATGGAAAGGGGCTTGGTTTCCAAGCCTTGTGAGACTGGAAGTTTTAATACGTCTTTCAGAAGCTCTCAAGTTAGCTCTTCAGCCTCTTCCATAGTTCTGGGTTTCAGTTAACATCTTATGGGGAAAACTGTTCAGGGTTGAGGCTCATCAAGTCTCCAATTTTGTCCTTTTAGTCCCATGTGGCTATTAAAATCTTTGCTGCTATCTCTGACTCCAGACCCCCTGTCCTTAACTTCACTGAGACTCTGGTCCCATCTGTGACCCTGTCGTGTGCACTGGAGGCACTGAGTAAACCCAGTGGGTGGGGCAGGGATGACACTGTGTCACCTGGGTGGTCTTGTGCCAGGACCAGCCATGGCCTCCACAGGCAGGGGTAAGCAGTCAGGGACAAGGGGCTACCTGCAGCCACCTGTCACCTGGTGCCAACGCACATGTGGGCGGGTCTGTAAGAACACACAGCACACGGCTTGTGTGTGTTTTCTGCCTTCTCAGCAAAAAATGGCCCAGAAAATCATGAAGATGATACAAGGAGATTATATTGAAAAGCCAGACTTTGCCCTAAAGTCTATAGGTAAGCAACTCCCCCTCACCGCCCCCACCCTACAATCCACCTGCCTCAGGTTCCTCAAAAACTCCTCAGTGAGTGGATTTCAGTTCTGGTCTGGTGTCCTCTCTGCTCCAGGGAAGTTCATGCTCAGAGCTAACCGTCCCCCGCCCCAGATAACTTTTTTTGCTGCAATTTTCTGTTTCCTCTGTCAGTCTAAAGACTGGCCATATAAAACACCCACACAGGCCCAGCTGTGGTTGGGAATCAGCGTTGCAGAAAACCGAAGCAGGGGGCTGGGATGGGAAGGACTGGGCAGAGGCCTGTGCGGGAGAGTGTTTGAGTTGAGGCCTGGCGAGGAGGGAAAAGTGCTCCAGACCCAGGGAAACCCACGGGAACGGGCCCCCTGTGAGGGGCACAGCAGGAGTGGGGGGGGCGGCACATGGAAGGAGGAGCGGTGGGGGCGGTCAGGCAGCACCCGCTGCTCCGGCCGAGGGGCACGTGGGGTCGGAGGCCAGAGGCTTAAGCTCTTGGGGCCTCAGTCTCCCCCTCAGAGCCAGGCTGTCCTCCTCTGTGAAACAGGCATAACACCAGCCATGGCAATGAGAACGAGGCTGGCTGGAAGACCTTGATGTATTAACTCATTTCAATCTCACAGCAACCCTGTGAGGTAGGTGGGTGTTATCATTATTATGGCTTCTATTATTCTTCCCCATCACCCAGGGAATGTCTGAAGTTTGGAGAGGGCCAGTGACTCTGGAGTGTTCGCCCGGCGCAGAGTCACTGCCCAGTTTGACACCCTCACTCCCACACAGGGGCCTCTATCGACTTTGAGCAAACGTCCAGCACATACAACTACGACAAGGCTCGCTCCTGCTGGAACTGGATCCGGCTCTGGAACTACGCGCAGCCCCCCGACGTGATCCTTGAGGCAGGAGGGGTGGGGGGTGGGGGGGTCAGGGTCCTGGGGCCAGCACCCGGAAGCAGACACTGGGGGTGCACACAAAGCGGGTGGGGGCCCAGGGGGGGTCTAGTGATAGGAACAGGAGAGGGAGACGCGAGGAGGGCAGGAAGCAAGAATAGACAGCAGGAAACACTGGCGGGGGGGGGGGGGGCGGGGCAGGAGCAGGGGCAACTGTAAGAGGGCCCTGCAAGACTTGAGAGCCAAGGAACCCTCACAGCCCCAAGCAGACCCCTGCCTTCCCGGCACTGGGCCGACGGGAAGATTCATTCTTACTGCCAGCAATCAGGGGAGCTTCCTGGAGTTGGTGGCGCTAAAGGAAGCTTTGTAGATGGAAGGATCTGGCTCACCCAGGAGGCAAAGGAGGTCTAGGGAAGCCAGGGTGGGATGAGGAATTCACCTTCACCCACCTGCCCAGCATATCCTCTCGCATCTGCCCCGTCCAGCCCAATGTGACACCTGGCAATTGCTGGGCCTTCTCCGGTGACCGAGGCCAGGTGACCATCCGAATGGCCCAGAAGGTCTACCTGTCCAACCTGACGCTGCAGCATATCCCCAAGACCATCTCGCTGTCGGGCAACCTGGACACCGCCCCCAAGGACTTCGTCATTTATGTGAGCGCCCCCGCGGGGAGCAGCGCTTAACTAAGGGGACAGCCTCATCTGGTGGGGCTCCAGGCACCCTGTCTGCACAAGCAGGCTAGAGGGGCTGGAGGAGGCTTGGTTAAGGCTGAGAATGACCAGCTTCCGGGGCTGATCATAGCCTTTAAGGATAGGAGATAAACAGCCGCTTTATTTCAACCTAAGCCTTTCAGAGCCAATTCAGTCTTCAGAGATATTGATAAGGACACTGAGGTCCAGAAAAGGGTCAGGGAAACACCCAATCCTACAACTCAGTGTCATAGTTAGAAGAGAGCCCTCAGCCTTTTGATCCCCAGTCCAGTGCTCTTGCCTATCCATTCCTCTGTGCTGCACTGGAATGGTGCCCAAAGAGATAGGGAGTTCCCCATCCTAGGAGGTATGCAAGTCTCAGCTGGAGAGGGGCAGTACCCTCTGAAGGCCCTGCCCATACCTGACACTTTCTCCTTGGTTCTGATTCCACAGGGCATGGAAGGCTCTCCCAAGGAGGAGGTGTTCCTGGGGGCATTTCAGTTTCAGCCGGAAAACATCATTCAGATGTTCCCACTCCAGGTGCCAGAGAAAGGCTGCCCGTGATGAGCAATAGCGAATGTGCCCCACGTGCAGGGCCTTCCCCAGGGAACCCCGGTTCTTCCCCCATCAGCCTTGCAGTGCACACTTGCCACTAACTCCCTTGACAAATGAGGAAACGGAGGCTCAGAGCATGGAGCCACTGCCAGGGCCAAAAGGGAGGCCCCCGAGGAGACCCGTCCAGCTGCTAGCCGTGCGTCATCTCCCTGACCTGCTCAGGAGTGCCTCCGCTGCAAGTCCTCCCACGGACAGGAGATCTTGAATGGGGGACCCACTGGGCCAGGGTTGCTGGCTTTCAACTTAGCATCTCCATACTGGGAGGCCCTGTTGTCAGCACCTGATCTAACCACAGCAGGGGAAACTGAGGCCTGAAGGGAAGGGAGTCGGGGACAGAAGCAGGACACGGGGGTGGCTGCCAGAATGGCCCTGAGACTCAGTGGAATGTCTACACTTTGGAATCAGGCTGACATGGACACAAATCCTGACGCCACAAATCTGCATGATCTTAGACCATTCCCTTCATCTCTGGGCCTCTGTTTACCTTTGTATAATTCCCTGGAACATTAAGAGCATCCAGTGAGATCTCAGAGGCCAAGGCCTCAGCTTTTGCACCAGGCTCTATCCTCTCTCAGGGAGGAGGCATGCTCACCAAATAGCTACTACAGGCCACCTAGCTCCAGGACCTTGCTTCATGCTCACAGCAAAACTGGAAAGCAGATATTACCCTTCCCCCAACCCATCTTAAGGGGGTGGGGGGTGGGGGGTGGGCGGGAACTGAAGCCCCAGGAGGGACAGAGACTTGCTCTGGGGTCCCACAGCCAACTGTTCAGGGCCCCAAGGCCAGAATACTTTCCCCATCACAGTATATCCTTCTTTCTGACCTCAGCACCTTCCATCCCAGTCCCTGAGTATCAACTTCCTGTGTGGCTTCAGGACAGTTCATTCCCTTCTCTGAGCCTCAGTTTCTCCACCCATGAAACAGGAGGGTTCCCTTCTACCCCCAAACACCCGTCTGGACAGGCAGAGTGGAGGCCACCGGCCTCATGTCTGTGACTCTTCCAGAATCAGCCTGTCCGAGCATTTGGTGCCGTCAAGGTGAAGATATCGAGCAACTGGGGGAACCCACGGTTCACCTGCCTGTACCGAGTGCGCGTGCACGGTTCTGTGACCCCACCCGCCAGAGAGCAGGCGGATCAGAGCCCCTACCCGGAGAGAGATTAAAGTTTATTCTTCACAGTCCAGCCCAAGTCTGAATGTCTTTCAGCTCCAAAGAGTGAGGATAGGCCAGCATGTGATGTCTGAGGCCACATTTAGCAATTCTCAGTCGTGTCCTAAGTGTCCAGGCATCCTCACAACAGCCCCATGGGGCCCCATTTCACAGATGGGGACAGTGAAGGCTCTGAGAAAAAATTTGCCAGAGCTCACAACTCACAAAGGGCAGCACCAGGATTCAAACCCAGGCAGTCTCATACCTGTACATATGTCATCTCCCCAGCTTCAAGTCACACTCTGCCCTGGACCCAGGGGTGACTTTGGGCAAGACCCAGCCCTCCAGGGCCTCACTCTCCCCATCTGTACAATGGGAACAAGATGATGGCTGTTGTATTAGATGAGATGGGAGATGAGAAGTCCCACCCTGCCAAGCACAGAGTATTTCAACATCACACAGACCATTTACTCCATTTACCTGGAGCCTGTTTCAGATTCTGTGTCTCCCTGTCTCTCTGACCCTCCCCTGCTCACGCTCTGTCTCTGTCTCTGTCTCTCTCTGTCTCAGAAATAAAAACATTTTTAAAAAATGGGCAAAGGACTTGAATAGACATTTCTCCAAAGAAATATGCAAATGGCCTATAGCACATGCAACATCACTAATTATTAGTGAAATGCAAATCAAAACTCCAGTGAGATCCCACCTCACACCCATTAGGACGGCCACTATAAAATAAAACAAAATCAGCACTTATTGTTGATGAGGATGTGGAGAAATCAGAACCCTTATGCACTGCTGATGAGAATGTAGAATGATATAGTCAGTGGAAAATAGTGTGGTCATTCCTCAAAATATTAAAAATAGAATTATCAGGGGGCACTTGGGTGGCTCAGCCCATTAAGCATCCAACTCTTGATTTTGGCTCAGGTCTCCATCTCTCGGTTTGTTGAGTTTGAGCCCCGCCCCGCGTTGGGCTCTGCACTGACAGCAAGAAACCTGCCTGAGATTCTCTCTTTCCCGATCTCTCTCTGCTCCTCCCTCGCGTGCTCTCTCTCTCTCTCAAAATAGATAAAATAAACTTAAAAAACATAGAATTACTGTATGACCCAGCAATCCTGCTTCCAGGTTTATACCCCAAAGGAAAGCAGGGTCTCAAGGAAGTATTTGAACACCCATGTTCATCACGCATTGTTTGCAACAGTTAAAATATGGAAGCAACCCTAGCGTCCAACAGCAGGTGGACAGATAAAATATGACGTATACGTACAATGGGATATTCTTCAGCTTTAAAGAGGAAGGACACTGACACATGCTGCAACATGGATGAACCTTGAGGACATGCCAAATGAAATACGGCTGTCACAAAAAGACAAACGCGGTATGTATGATTCCACTTATATGAGATACTTAGCCAAATTCACAGAGACAGGAAGTAGAATGGCTGCCGGGGGCTGGGGGAAGGGGAGAACGGAGAATTAATGGTCTCATGATAGTTTCGATTGTACAAAATGGACAGAGCTGTGGAGACGGCTGGCGGAGACGGTTGCACATTATTACGAATATAGTTAATACCACTGAACTGTACATTTTAAAAGTCAAGATGGTAAAGTTTATATTACACATATTTTACCACAATAAAAATTTGGAAAAAAAAAAAAAGAAATACCTTAAGTCCTTTAACGGAGAAAATCTGAGAAACTTCAGAAACAAGAAAATCCTATAAATTCTGATAGCACATTCCGTCTTCACTGTATACTATTAAAATGCAGGTGTAAATTTTTTAAAGCCTCTGTTCCCTGAAGCAGTCACTCATATTTTGCATGCATTGCCTGTGCCTCAGCTGAGTCTCACCTGTTCAGCATTTACTCACGAGCTTACAGAAATGCTGAAAACAGTGCCTACCATGACTCCGTCCACAGAGCTCTCAGCACAGAGCGTGGCACACAGTCGGTGCTGGGTAAATGATCACCAAGGCAACTGTCAGCCTCTATCGCCATGCAGGTGATAGGAGGCCCGGTCCTAAGCAGGGCCCCAGAAGGGGACAGGCTGGCCAAACCGGAAAGCGCACAGGGACTGGAGTCTGCCAGGGAGGGAATTCATACAAGGGGCAGGCAGGTGTAAAGGCTGGCGGAGGTCCAGCTGGGCATTAGAAGGACGGATAGATCGGAAATGTGCTTGTCTCCTGGGAGGTGCCGTTGGACCGGCACCTGCCCCGTGCCAGAGTCTGTCCCTCTGGCCATCTGCCAGACTCCTCACCAGCACCTGGCCCCGGGACCTGCCATCCGAAGGTCTCCATGGGGGGATGGGCTTCCAGGGGTCACCTCAGACTCTTGCCACTCTCTGGCTGCTAGTGGTCGGCAGTCAGTGGACCAGGGCAAGTACCCAGCCTGGAATTATTTCTGTAGATTTCATGAGACCCATTCTTGGGGTACCTGGGTGGCTCAGTCAGTTAAGCATCCAACTTCGGCTCGGGTCATGATCTTGCGGTTTGTGGGTTCGAGCCCCACATCGGGCTCTGTGCTGACAGCTCAGAGCCTGGAGCCTGCTTCACATTCTGTGTCTCCATCTCTCTCTCCCCCTCCCCTGCCCATGCTCTGTCTCTCTCTATCTCTCAAAAATAAATATTTTTTTTAAAAAAAGAGAGAGAACCATTCTTGTTGTTAAAAAGCCGTTCCATATGGAGGTTTGATGAAAAGCAGAGTCACAGACTCCTCACTTCCTCCTCCAAACGCCCCTCCCAGCCTCACTCTGCTGCTCTACATGTTTTCTTCCAGTAATTGGTCTTTTAACTTTGTATAAAGTGTATTTTGTTCAGCAGAGACTTTTGAAAATTTTCTGTAGTTAAATCATCTTTTCCTTTATAGATTCTAAGTTGTATGCTTCTCAGGAAGGACCTGCCCCATTCCAAAATTAGAGCAATATATCCTACTCCCTCTTCTACCAATATTATATGTATTACATTTGTAAGAATAGATACGTGATAGACAGATGATGGATATGCTCTTTGGTGCACACACGCAAGGTTCCAATGTATAAAAGCTCTTTAACGCATCTGGAATTTATTTTCGTGTATGGCGTGAGGTAGGGGTCTAGTTTAATTTTTGCTAAATTGCTACCCAACGACCACAGTATGGTACCATTATTGGACAGACCATCTTCCCTCTGCTTGCAGCCAGACTCTGTGCACAGCCTCTGGTCTCTTCTTCACTTCACCGAGCCCCCCGCCTCATGCTGCACCAACACCACACCTTCCGAATTACTCCAGCTTTGGAGCACGTGTTGGTGTGTGCTGTCGCGAGCACCTCGCTCTTTATTTCTGTCTCTCAGATTCTTCCTCTGTCAGGCAAGCTTTCCAATCAGCTTGTCCGTCCAGTTGCATTATTTTTTCTAGCCGCTGGGCTTGCAGGGGTCCTGTGGACCCATGAACGGAGAAGACGCCCCTTGCCCATTCCTGCAACGTGGAATCTTCTCTCCATGTCTTCCGATTTTCCTTCAGCAGCTTTAGTAATGTGTCATTGCTTTCTTGTCAGATTTAATCCTGGATATTTTACCAGCAGTAGGGTGACTGTGGATGGGACCTTTACCCTCGGTGACGATTTCCACAGTTAGAGCAGCTATGGAGGAAGCCCCTGCTGTTTGACACTCATGTGGCGCTCCTCCCCTCCACGGTCCCCACCATCTGGAGGATTCCAGTAGATTCTCCTCAGTGTCCTGGAGGGACACTCACATCACCCCCACAAACATTCCATAAAGCACAAGTGTGCTCACTCCCACCCCTCCTCTCGTCCCCCCAGCACCCCTGCAGACGAGAAACTGGGCCCAGGAGAGGCAGAACCACTTCCTCAGGCCACACAGTCAGTTATGGGGGAGCTGTGACACCAGCCCGGCCCCCGGGCCCCAAAGCGCCCGCTCTCCCTTCAACCCTTCCCACAGCAATTTCAAATTCCAGCGCATTTGGGTGAACGGACTATGGAACTATGAGTAGAGGACAGGATTCCTGCATTTTGTCCCCTCTGGGCCCTGAGAGCTGTCCGGCCCCCTCATCCCACCCAGGTCCCTGTGCAGTCACAGCAATGGCCTGAAAGGGTGACGCCTGAGACATGTGACCCACGGGGAGTCCTGTTCTTCAGGAGGGGCACCCGCTGCTTCAGCCCAGCCCCCCGCCTATAAGATCAGGCTTCCTTTATTCACCATGGTCTCCCCTTCACCTGCTGCACAGCCCATTCTCCAAGGTCGATGGGCTCTGGGTTGGGTGGCACAGTCCACAGGGTGCTTAGAGGCACTGATAAGGAGAGAGGCCCTGAGAGAGACCCAGCCTCATCCAAGACCCACTGCACAAACCTATTCAGCCCAGCAGGGGGCCAGGGGCTGTCTCTTCCCTGGAGGGGCTCCTTGCTTGGTGGCATCCTGCAGAAGAACAAAGGCCACCTCTAGGCCTCGCTCCCCCTCACCCCCCGCCAGGTCCACAGTGCATGGGGCTGCCCACCCGCCACCCGGCCCACCCATGGGACTGGAGCAGAGGAGTGGGCAGCCGGCCAGGGTGGGAGTCCACTCTGTCGCAACCAAGGCAGAACCGGAGGTACAGAGTGCCAAACCTCTCCGCTAAGGCCCCCAGAATGGCGCCTCCGCCTCCGATAAGCCTAGCTCCAGCCTCAGGATTTGAGTTAATTCCACTAATCCCCGGACACCAGGCCAAGTAGGGCAGATGGGATGGGCCTTGGCTTCTCCAAGGCTCAGAAACCCCAGGGCCAGTGATAATACAAAGCCCTGGTCCCCACCCCTGCCTTGTGCTCCCTCACTGTGTAACTGGAAGAAATCACCTTGTTAGCCTCAGTTTCCCCATATGCACCCAGGAGAGGCTAGTCCCAGCCAGAGGTGGCCTGAGGCCCCCCAAATGCTGGTCCTCATTGACTGTGGTGGTGGGTATGAGCCCCTCGCATACAGAGTGAAGGAAGTACCACATTATTTCCTCAAGTCAAATCTGGCTCCAAGCTCCCGTGCATTTTTCAGGTCACTGTCACCCTATCAGGA